AATTTTAGTTTTGATACTAAATAAATAAATTTAATTGAACAGTTAAAAAATTAAAAGTTAATTTTTATTTTTAACCCAAATTTATCACAAAAATATATTTATTATATTTTTAACTTGTACCCTTAAAACATAAATTTGACAAATCTATGACAAAAAAATTATTTAAATAATATAAGATTGTATAAAAAATAATATAAAAAATTATTCCTAAATAATTTCCTTTTTTTTTTTTTCATCCAAATGGACAAATCAAATGTCAAGTCCCTTGCCACGTCGGAGTGAGATGACCAATTTTGCCACACGAGGTAGTCCCCCCAAACCGTAATTAACGGCAATTAACAGCAGTTAAGTTGGCTGTGAGAGTAAGGGCTAAATTGCATCTATTACAGAGTTCATGAGCTTAAATGCTTCAATTAAAGTCTGGGGGCTTAATAGCGATTCTGGGGTTAGTTCAGGGGCTTAACTTATGGTTTTGCCTTTTTAAAACTTGGAACATAAATAGAATTTATAAACTCTATTTAGTATCGCTGTATTTTTAAAATTTATAAATATAATAATGATTAAAACTGATAAAAAATAAAAAATTAATAATTTATTTAAAATATATTTTGACATTAATAATTAAAAATATGAATTTATTTAATAATATTAAAATTATTTTATTCTTAATTTTCTAACAACTATAATAATATATTATAAAAACATATGAAACTAAATAAAATTTTTAATTAGAATTATAAAATTTTGAAAATACTACAGTTACAATAATTACAATATCACGTGATGTTATAAATTTATAATACGATGTATTATTAAATAATTAATTCTTTTCATTTATAGATTTACTTTGAATATTATATACATTTACTTGTTTAATACTGTATTATATTTCATTTAATACCATATGGGATTGTAAACTTATAATTATATAAAATATTATAACTATAATATTACTGATAAAATTTACAAGAATTAAAAGGAAAATCTAAAAATTACAATCATACTAAACAAACTTATAGTTAATTAAGTAATCAAGTGATAATCTTTTTTTATTTAAACAAATAGTTTTTCTATTCTACTCACTCTATCTTGGAATACTGTAGATTTTTTTAATTTTGAGTTTGCCCTAAATTAATTTTTTTTAATGTTGACAAATATTTTTTTATTTTAGTCTTGTTATTATTTATTTGTTTTGATTAATTATCTTATTACAAAAAATCTTAATTTATCTTTTTGATATTTCTAAGGCTAATATAAATAAATATATTAATGGTTTCTAAATTTTTAATTTAAAATAAATTTAAAAAATAATTATTATTACGAGAGAGAAGGTGTATAATATACAAAAAAAAAATTAATCAGTAATTATTACTTTTGTATTGAAAAATGTGAAAATTAATCAGTTTTATGGTCAATGGCAACGAAAAAAAAAAGATTATATGTTTTGGTGGCCAAAAAAAAAAAAGTTTATATGTTCGAGTCTCAAAGTGGAATGACTTCCCTCACCAACATTTTTTTACCAAAATTATTAGACATTAATTCGTAAAACATTTTCAAATATCTTTTTTTGGGTTAAATTTCAATATAAAAAATTGTTAAATTTTGAGAATCATACCTCATCTTAACATTTGGGAAAAAAAAAAAAACCCTTATCTTACCTAGCTTCTTTGAGTGTCTGATTTGGATTGTTGGACCGGAATTTAATTTCCAATCTTTTTCATTAATTATTAAATATTAAAAAATAGATATTAATCTATATCGTAAAAAATTACATAAAAAGATGTTAAAATTACATTATTTTAATAAAATCTCACTAAAAAATCAAAATAACTTAATTTTTAAAATAATATTGAAGTTGTTTTAATCTTTTTTCATAATTATTTTATTAAAACTATATAGTTTTAAAGTATTTTTTTGCTTAATTTTTTACGATACAAATTCATACACATTAATGATTTTTCAAAGATTGGAAAAACTAAACTTTTGAATTTAGAGTTTATTATGGAGTAAACCAATTTTTAAAATTTTAAATTGTATAATAAAAGGTAATTTTGTTTTCTTTCATTCACTTTAGTCACATATTATGAAATTTTAATTCAAAATTTTTTATTTTTACAAAATTATATTATCATTAAATTATTTATATTATTATGTAATAATTTTTTCTCTCTCATTGTAATAAAGACAAATATGGAAGAAAAATCCATGACATCGTGCCGTATCTGATATCTTTGTATTGCATTTTTATGGTGGATGTTATGGGACGTATATCTTTCTTTACAAGGTTGTGTAGAGATTTAACCATGTTTACATAACATTTTTCATTGCAGTAAAGATGATCTTGAAGTTAATTCGTATCGTATTTTAAAATTATTGTTTTAAATTAATTAAAAATAAATCATTTATCTTGATATTAAAAACTTATAAATTATCTTTTTATTAATTTTTTTTATAAAATTAAATTTTTATTAATATAATAGAGAGTAAGCCTCCCTTACTAGTAAGTTCATAATTCATTGGGTATATTTCCATAACATTGATTATACTTTTCCCACATACATATAAATCCTTTCTCTTATTATAAATATAGTGAAATTAATACAATCGTTTTATATAAAAGCTAAATAATGAGATAGGTTTTTTTTATCTATATTAAATTAATATAAAAAAATATTGTTAAAATTATCGAAAAAAATTAATTTTAAAATGTTTGAAAATTAACTTAAAAACCTTGTAACTAAAAATAAAAATCTAATCATTGTATGATATAAATATGGTAAAAAAAAAAAAAACAAAATTATTTACAGATAAGCCTTTATGATAATAAAATCTTTGTAATGTGATGTGATGTGATTTTTATAGATTTTTTTTATTTCAAGTAAAATACACAGTAACTAAATATACTTATTTTATTAATGAAATTTACATACCAATTTGATTTAAATAAATAAAATCTATATGTACCAAAAAAATAAGTAAAATCTACTTTTTACCAAAAAAATAAAATCTACTCTAGTATGACCCAAATGGTATAAATATGGCAAGAAAAAAAAAAAAAAAGGTGCCATGT